GTTCTGTATTTCGTATCTTGTTTCTTCACTCTCCCCCTTTTCTTTTTCCCTTCTTCTTCCCAACCTGTCCTTTTCCATTCTTTTCTCAATTAGCCGATACCTTAACTCTCTACTCTCTGCTCGGCTATTCTCATTTCATTTCTTGTTACACTATGTCTTCTGCGCTCTTGGACCAAGCCACGCGCATTGCGCGCGGCTTTGATTACCCCGCCGAGAATGTGCAGCGCGGGGTTGCCGAGTACATCAAGCAGTCCAACGAGGGCTTGACCAAAGAGGGTGCCACTTTGAGCCAAATTCCCACTTTTGTGACTGCGGTGCCAAATGGCACAGAGAAGGTATGAAGGCAAACTATTTACAATGGGACTTGCGCGCTGATTCTCCTTGCCATAGGGCCTTTATTTGGCTGTTGATCTTGGCGGCACCAACTTCCGTGTGTGCTCAGTCCTCCTGCACGGTGATACTACCTTCTCCCTCACGCAATCCAAGATCCTAATTCCTCGGGAATTGATGGCCTCTGGCACATCGAAGGATCTCTTCCTGTTCTTGGCCCGTCAAATCGAAGCATTCCTTCGCATTCACCACAATGAGCACTTCGAGGCCCACCAGCTCCGCCGTCAGGAGGGTAACAACGAAGAGGACATGTTCGATCTGGGCTTTACCTTCAGTTTCCCCGTGCGCCAGTGTGGTATCAACCGTGGAACACTGATCCGTTGGACCAAGGGCTTCAACATCCCCGATGCGGTTGGCCACGATGTCTGTGCGCTGCTTCAGGCTGCCATTGATGATTTGAATCTGCCAGTGCGCGTGGCTGCACTAGTGAACGATACCGTCGGTACTCTCATGGCCCGCTCATACACCTCGCCAGGCAAGACTGGCACTTTCATCGCTGCCATTTTCGGAACCGGTACCAACGGTGCTTACTTGGAGAAGACCAAGAACATTACCAAGCTCCAGCATATGAAGGATGTCCACTTTGACGACTGCACAGGCGAGATGATTATCAATGCCGAGTGGGGAAGCTTCGATAACCACATGAGCGTTCTCCCTACCACGGTGTTCGATGATGAGCTCGATGCTGACAGCAACAACCCCGGTGTGCAGATGTTTGAGAAGCGTGTTTCGGGCATGTTCTTAGGCGAAATTCTGCGCCGTGCGCTCCTATCTCTACACCAAAACACCGACCTGGAATTCTTCAAGGCCAACAAGAACTCCAAGGTCGTCCTTCCTGAAGGATCTAGACTCTTCCGTCAATGGGGTCTTGATACGAGCATGCTTAGCCCAATCGAGGCTGATAACAGCAAGGACTTGGTGGATGTGAAGACCGCATTGAAGGATCACCTCGAGATTGAGAACCCCAGCCTGGAAGAGTGCCAGGCTGTGAAGATCATAGTTCACGCCATTGGAAAACGTGCCGCTCGCCTGAGCGCTGTCCCATTGGCTGCCATTCTCGTGCACACCAACAAGCTTGAGACTGATGATATCATCGACATTGGTGTCGATGGCAGTCTCGTTGAATTCTATCCCAATTTTGAAGGGCATATTCGTGAGGCTTTGCGCGAGGTTCCCCAGGTTGGAGTCGCAGGCGACAAGAAGATCCGCATTGGCGTTTCTAAGGATGGCAGCGGTGTTGGTGCAGCTCTGATTGCGCTCGTCGCTAACAGGGTCGATGGCCACCTTAAAATTCCCCGCGAGAAATAAATGACCTGAACTATCCTATGGTTCCCTTTATTGTTGTCTTTTGTTTGTCGGAGCTCTCCGATTTTCATGACCTTTAAAGTGTCCATCTCTCTCTCCCCAGCGAAGTTGAAAACTACGTAGGTTGGTCGACCACCCTAATGTCCTCAGAATCTCAGACCTGCCACAATCCGTTAGTCCCGAAACAAATACCAACCTGAATTCTTTCATCTTTCGCTCATCTAAACCTATGGCAACACTATCGGCTGAAATCAAGATTCAGATCTTGATAGTCAATTGCCAACCCGCAGGACTTTCCTACCTGCGGGTGAGGGCATCCGCAATTATCATATCACGCCCCATTCCATCAACTTCCCATAACGAGGTTACATCACATTGGGGCTGAATTCTCAATTTGGAGTTGCGGAGGCTTCCTCCGAGGCCTTGCCGGCGTGGAACGGCATGCGATGCAAGAAATTGCATCGAACTGGCTTCACACCCATTGTCATGTCCATTTCTTGTCTATTTCTTACTTCACAATCTCATTGCTTTTTAATGAATCTCTACAAGTAGATGAACCCCAAGGCGGATAATATCACAACATTTAGACCAGTTCTATTGGCGTTATATACTTCTGAAGCACATCAAAGTCCCCTATTTAGCATGCTCATACCCAATAGCCCGAGGTGCCTGTACAAAATCGATATGACCAGCTGGGCCCGTCAAGAAGGCCGACTTCCCACCATCAGTACTCGGATCATATCCAATGAGATTACCGGGGAACCCAATATCAAAAGTAGTTGCCGCCTCCAAAAACTCAATCTGCTTATCCGTAAGCCGAATCGACAACGCCCGGATATTGTCATGCAGATGCTCAATCTTGCGGCCTCCAACAAGCGGGAACACATTCGGCGCCTTGCAGAGCACATAGGCCAACGCAATAGCAGTAACCGACTCAATCCCATGCTCAGCTGCAACAACGGCCAATGCCTCGGAGATATGCTTCTCCTCTTCCGTCTGCTCACCACCCACCGTACTACGCAGACCCTCGCCTGCCTTCTTTCGCTCCTCGAGCTGTTTAGCAGTCTGGAAATGCCCACTGCCAAGCACATCCCACGGCGCAAGCGCCATCCCGAAATGCCGCGCCATGGGGATGATATCGCGCTCAAAGTCGCGGCGCATCACGTTCCATCGGCCCTGGTAGATGGAGAAAGGTGTTTTGCCGTGCGCGCGCGCATACGTGTTCGCCGCGGAAACGACCCACGCCGGCGAATCCGAAATCCCGAGGTACATGACCTTGCCTTGCTCGACGAGGATATGGAGGGAGTCCATGATTTCCTCGATGGAGGTAGTGTGGTCCCACCAGTGGAGGTAGAGGACATCGATGAAGTCAGTTTGGAGTTTGCGGAGGGAGTCGCGAACGCTGACGATCATGTTGCGCTTGTGGTTGCCGCAGGCGTTGGGGGCGTTGCCCTTCCCGAGCGCGTGGCTGCGGTAGTCAGTTGTGAACTTGGTGGCTAGCACAATCTGGTCGCGGTTGTTGCGTGCGGCCATCCATTCGCCGAGCCAGGCCTCGGATTGTTCGTTCTGGTAGTTGTTTGCTGTGTCGATGAAGTTGCCGCCGGCGGCGACGAAGGCGTCGAGCAGTTCAAAGGATTTCTCTTTGCTCATGCTACCCATGAATTGGCTCCAGGCGTCGCCGATGGACATTGCACCGAGCTGGAGCGGGGAGACGCGGACTCCTGCTGTTGAGGAGAGGACCCGGTACCGGCCCAGAAGGGTGGCGGGCTCAGGGGCAGCTTTGAAGAGTTCGTCCATTGTATAGTAGGTTTGGTGTTTTGTTTGTTGTTGTTATGTAAATCGATGATGATGGTGGGCTGGACTATCATTCAGGTCGGTTGGAGTGCCTTTTATACTTGGTCTTTATTAATCAAGCCCGGAGATAATAACTCGGTAACTAACTAGTATCGGCTATGTTTGTCAGCCTATTTCATCCATTGACCTTGATGACCGGAAATAAAGCTCCCTCGTGATATATCTCCGTTCCCACAATTTATTGCTCGTCTTCCTGCTGCCTCATACATAGACCCTAGATAAGTAGGCACATAATTATAGCCAATGATCAAGCTCTACGTGCTAGTACAGTATTTTGTAACGCCAATCGGTTATTTATAGTGTATGAATCCGTAGCGCCGCCCCTCCCTGTGGGAGACAGGAAATGGATATTCCTTAAATCCTTAGGGGTGTCGAGCTCTTGAATCAAGGCGAAGACTACTCAGACGAAAACCTTAGAATAGCTATATAGTGCCAGTATAGATCAGCTGAGCCCATGCCGATGCTGGCTCTAATCATCTAAGCTGTTAGAATGGCGAGTATAGCCAGATGAGAATAATCATGATACTGTGCCAATAGTGTTCTACATCATAGAAGTATGATGACCAGGAAGGACAAGCTTAAATCCGATCTCCGAGTTGGTTCTTTGGTTCTAAGCCGCACTAATCCTAATCCCGTTAGAGCCGTGTCAGCTGTCTATCGTTGCATATTAACGTAATCTCCGCAACTATCCACGTCGATAGAACACTTGTTTCTGGAGTAAACCCTTGATCTCTCTTCTCTGGACTGTTCGGACCCTATGTTTATCCTTTGCCCCCTGATTCATCAACAGCGGTGTACTCAGTAATCCGTTACAGGATGTTTCTCTGGATGGAGCAAGGGGTGATGTTATGCACATCCCCCTGTTCGTTGATTGGCGAGCAATCAACATTTACACGACAGCTGAATAATTGATCACCCTGATCCTTGCATTCCCCTGACTGCAACTCCACCTAGGCAAACCGAACTCGACATCTTGTCCGCGTTCAAGCGCACGTTTTGACTCAAACCCGGTGTCTTTTCTGACGGCGCATGATGTTCAAGTCTACTGCGACTAATTATAGTTGTATCACCGCATTTTCGGTTGTTGCTATTGACGAACCAATAGACTAATCCCTTGAGAACTAGATCTCGCTGCCTAACTGCAAAAATTAAATCGGCAGGGTATGCAGCTCGGCGGAGGATTCCATGTACCACATGGACTCTCGAAATACGATCGCAGGGTTCTGTGTAGCCTGGATTGGCCCTTTTCTCCTTCCCAGGAAATTTACAGGCAAGGTTCTTCATGAGACCTGTACGAACTGGTTGTGTTTCCAATGTCACTCTTGGCTTATTTTCCCTGTTTCCTTTTAAATCGCTATGTTTTCCTGCTCTTCATTCGTCCCAACTTTCGTTAAATCTCATTACGGGCTTTTCCCCTACTTATTTAATACTTGTCTTTTTTTTCGTTCATTATGGGCTTCCTCAATGCCTTCAAAGCTAAATTTCGCAAGGAGGGAGATGTACCTGGAGACAAAACCGAGCACAACAATGAGCACAAAAATGTGGCACCCAATGACGACACCCATTCCCAGTCTGAAGGTCAGACTTCAAAGCCCCCAAGTGAAAAGGAGAGCACTCTAGTCGATGAGCCTTTGATGAGAAATACTACTCCCAATGATGACACCAAGAGTGAACTTGCGAGCCGTAATAATCCAACGCCTGTTCACAACGACTCCAACCGGGAGCTGGTCCCCAAAAAGCCATTCGATGAGCAGCCCACAGAAGAAGAAAAAAAAGAGGACAGTGACGCCGAAACGCCGGAGGATGAGGAAGAATATCCAAACGCATGGAGATTGACTATGATCAGCATTGCCTTGTGTCTATGCGTGTTCTGCGTGGCATTGGTACGCACTGCCAGGCTGCTTTACTTGATGATTATATCCAGCTAACACCGATCCTCCAGGACAACACAATCATAGCAACAGCAATTCCCAAGATCACTGATCAATTCAACTCACTCGAGGACGTCGGCTGGTACGGAAGCTCATATCTTTTGACAACATGTGCCGTGTCCCTGATGTTCGGCAAACTCTACACGTTCTACTCTATCAAGTGGATATATCTCAGTGCGCTCTGCATTTTCGAGATCGGCTCGCTCGTTTGCGCTGTCACTCCCACCTCGGTCGGACTCATCTGTGGTCGAGCCATCGCCGGCCTCGGAGCGGCTGGTCTTTTCTCGGGCTCTATCCTCATTATCAGCAAGAGTGTACCCCTAGTCAAGCGACCGATGTATACAGGTCTTATTGGCGCGATGTTTGGTATTGCCAATGTAGCTGGTCCTCTGTATGTTGCTCCTGTTCCTTGATTGCCGAATTATGCTAACTTCTGACAGGATGGGAGGCGCATTCACCGACCACGTCACCTGGCGTTGGTGTTTCTATATTAACTTGCCTATCGGAGCAGTGACTTTCCTCTTCGTGCTGTGCTTCTTCCAAGCACCTAAAGCCATCTTGAAGAAGAACACCTTGAGAGAACAGATCAAGGAGCTAGACCTGGTTGGCTCTCTCTTTTTCCTGCCCTCTATCATCAGCTTGTTGCTGGCGCTGCAATGGGGTGGTACCAAGTATGCATGGGGCAGTGGACGCATTATCGGCTTATTTGTGGTATTTGGTGTTCTCGGTCTCATCTTCATTGGGGTGGAGATCTGGGCCGGGGACCGCGCAACTGTCCCACCACGCCTGATTAAGAACCGTAACGTTTGGGGCTCGACATGGTATGCCCTTGCTCTTGGTGCTTCTTTCTTCGTATTGACCTTTTATGTGAGCCCCCTTTCCATTTCTTTCTTCCGCCGTTCGCTCGTCAAGCTCTAACATTCTCAGCTCCCTATCTGGTTCCAATCAATCAAGGGCGCAACCGCCTTGAAATCCGGCATCATGAATCTGCCCATGATCATCGCAGTCGTGGTTGTCTCTATCCTGGCTGGTGGCCTCGTCACCACCTGCGGATACTACACTCCCTTCATGATCGCCTCGGCCATCATCATGACCATCGGCGCAGGGCTCCTGACAACTCTAGAGACAGACTCAAACCACTCAAAGTGGATCGGATACCAGGCAATCTTCGGTATCGGCCTGGGTCTGGGCATGCAGCAGCCCATTATCGTCGCTCAGACTGCCCTGAAGGCCGAAGACGTACCCAGCGGTACGGCTATCGTCATGTTCGCCCAGACTCTTGGTGGCGCTATTTTCGTTTCCGTCGGGCAGAATGTGTTCCAAAACCAGCTCATCCGGAACTTGGCTCAGTATGCGCCTGACGAAGATGCTGCGAAGCTCGTATCTGTTGGCGCTACTATGCTGCGCACTGTTGTTAGTGGCGATTCCTTACACCGTGTCCTGGTTGCCTATAATGCTGCTATTACGCAGACCTTCTATGTTGCTGTCGCCATGGGCGCATTGTCGCTCATTGGGCCCATCTTCGTTGAGTGGTTGTCTGTCAAGGGCAAGAAGGTCGAGGTAGCTCCTGTTTGAGGATCAGGTTCGGACTAGGCAAGTCTTTTCGTGCACATTGTTCAATTTCTTTTCTTTATATCTTTTTTCCCCCGTTCTTTGTGGAATGGTCTACGGAATATTGTACTGGGCCATATATGTGTCCACTCATTTCTATTGTTTATTTATAATTCATGCGTATATTGATATCGCATAAAAAGCCCAATCAATACCATTGCTTTGCATGATGGAATATATGTTTCTTGATGCTTTTCTATTTCTCTTCTTTCACCACCTATTGTACGCAGTCAGTTGGGGCGAGAGCGAAGCGGCTGTAATTCTATTAGTATCCAATTTCATAGGGTTCGATAGTCCCAGTTGTCATCAAAGTCTAACCTCTTCCTTCCTATTTAGGAACAAAGTTCATGTCTTACGTACACCTTGCATAGAGAGATTGAGGGATCCCTGGTTGTATAGATATAAGGTTAGCAGCAAGGAGGTGATATATATTTTTGATATCAACGGTAAATTGACATTGAACTAAGCTTTATTTTGTTCGGCCTTGGGTGAACCCCTTTGACCTATTATTGTACTAATTCCTTCGATAATACGACGCTGAAACAGCAAAAAGAAGCAAAATGACACACAAAACCTAAACTCCAGCATATAAACTCAAATAAATCCCCCAGATCACCCCACACGCACTTCCAAAGACCACTCGTCGATCTACAGGAATGATTGTGTACATTAAGACCGAAACAACAGGCCGATACTTCAGACGGGCACTCATAAGAGGTCGAAAATCCTACAGAAGTCAGCATCTGTGTAATCAGCATTGTTCAACAGAAGGGCAACTTACCAAAACAACCAAATCCCACGATTTTGCCAAACTCTCTCCCTTCAGCAGATTGATGATAACCACAAATAGCACAAGATTTACAATTGAGGCAGCCGTCTGATCAAACAAAAATTTCATGACGAAGCTATGCAGCCCAGATGTCGGCGCTGGCACCCATTGGACATGCTTTTCTTTGTCTTTGTGGCTAGGGAGCGAAACATCCCGGCGGAATCTTGAAAAGACAGAAAGCCATGAGCGGGGTGAGAACAGAGATTTCAGCGATCGAGCACTGAATGCATTTGAGAGTTCAGCACGCGTAGGAAACCCTGGATAGCGCGACTCCAGGGCGCGTTGCCAGTAGAAATTGGGGGCCACGATTAAGATGCCATAGGCCAGAAATTGGAGGAGGGCCAGTGTATTTAGAGTAAATGGAGTCTAGGACTTTGTCAATGTTGTCATGAGCATAGAAAACAGGAATTTTTCTTACTTTGTTGTTGCGCTGGTCAATCAGCTGCGCGAGGACATTGGAGATAGCATTCAAAATGGTTGCCTGCACGAACGTCACAAGCAAAGGTGAGGGCATGGTGAGAAGGCCCCTTGGACCAAATCCATGTAAATATCAATGTTCGACTGAACACAAATAGAAAGGTTGAAAAGGGTTGCCAAGCGCAACCGTGTCCTGAGAAGTCGCGAGGTTAAGGGGGCAAATTAAGGCTGAGAGATTAGGCGACAACTTTGATGTTTTCCACTTTTTACATCTTCTGCATCGCTTATTGTCTTGAGTAACAACTTGACTAAATTATCTCCGTCGAAATACAACATTCGGTCCATTCTTCGCCGAGGTAAAATGATCGGTCAGCGCCAGGTGCCCCCCCGCGTCTTCGCCCTGACGATCGGCCAATGACATGTCAAAGAGGAACACCAGCCGCGCCAATGTCAGCCGCATCTCCATAAAAGCCATGCTCTTGCCAATGCATCCACGGGGCCCAATACTAAACGGACAAAATGCGTGTCGCGCAGTCTCAATGCTCTCCTTGGTCGTCTGCCAGGACAATCCAGAGCCCATGCAGGTGGCGTTCTCAATCCAGCGCTCCGGCATGAAGGTCCCTGGTTCCCGGTAGTATCGCTCTTGGCGGTGGATGGAGTATGTTGGTGTGCCGCAGTCCGTACCGGCGGGTAAGAACACGCCGTCGACCACGGCGCCACCTTGCATCACTTCGCGGGGAATCGCACCGGGCACCGCTGGGGCCAGACGCAACGCCTCGTCGATGCATGCTTTGAGATACACCAGTTCGCCGAGCTGACTGCTGGTTATGATCTCTTCGACTTCGTTAAAGGCGCCGCGTACCTCGGCACACAGCTTGGCCAATGCATCTGGTCTACGAACTAAGTAGAAGAGTGTGGCTGCCAGTGTAGTCGAGGTTGTATCGCTGCCCGCAATCATGAGGACGTTGGACTCGCCCCAAAGCTCGGGCGTGCTAAGTCCATTGCCGGTCTCAGGGTCCTTCGCGTTCAACAGGTAATAAAAGAAATCCTTCTTGGCGTCCCGACCAATCTGGGTACGCTCCTTAGCGCGCTCGTTGGCTTCAACACGCGAATTCATAATGAAGTTCCATCGATCGCGCGTCAGCTTGCGGATGAATATCTGGTCCAGACCCCATGTGTCCAGGGGCATCCAAAGGCCACACTATGAGAGAATCAGATGAATTGTTCCTTGACGATGGATAAAAAAGAAATGCTTACCACATAATGCCTGTTCGCAGCACGATCCACCAACCCAACTTTATATCTCCTCGTCTCAGAAATAAGCATGTCAAAGCTCTTCCCAAAGCAGAGCTCGCCCATGACATCGTACGAGAGATAGCTAAACCAATCACCCATGTTCTTGACATTGCCCTTCTGATCATGCGATTCGAAATCCCCGTCATACCCAGCAAGCACAGCACACAGCTGACGCACATGGAGGAGCATCACATCCTCCATCCCCTTCAGAGCATTATCAGAAAAGGCCTGGCTAAGAACTCTCCTTTTGCGACCGTGCATGGTTTTATCAATAGCGTTGTGCGTGTTATACACGCCCTTGATAGCAGGGAAAGCATTGTAAAAATTGGCCTTCTGAAGGCGTTTCCCGTGCCCATAGATATCGTGTAATCCACGGTCAGAGTTGACAGAGATGAAATTAGGCGCAACTCGTACGTGTGTCCCGTACTGACTGTGCAGCCTGTGCAGCCAGAGGTGGCGGTCGCCCTTCAGGCCATGGTAGAGCTGGACCCAGGGTGTGATAGATGCGAGGAAGGGGCCGTTGATACGGCGAAGTGGGTGGATGAAGCGATTGTAGAGGGTGTAGGCGATGGTCTGTAGTCAATTAGAAGTTGATTGGGGGTATCAAAAGAATAGGACGTACCGCTACTGCTAATAGCCCTACCAAGCCTCCTAGGACTCTTTGTAGAGAAAAGCACCCCAAGACCGATTCAACAAACATTTTGTGAGATGATCATGAAGGAATAAGCATAGATTGGCTAACATGTTACATATCCTGTCCAACATCCTTTATACTCCAGCTACCGCCGATACCCGCCCCCAACCGAAGCTGATAGTCAATGATGACGGATCCGTACTACAAAACAGGTCGGCCTTTGCTCCAATTAAGAATTGCCAATTTCTACTACGGATAGGGTTCTGTTGGCTCGGTTATAGGCGGTTGTTTTAGGATACATTGGAGCGCCGTTGATTGGCTATGCTTAAATAGCCAGTATCTGCGGGGAAGCTTCACGTCGGGGTACTTTTGTGGGGAGGATCCTGGGTTTCTATGTTCTAAGGACAAAAGAAATGAACTTTTCAATCTGAGGCCTTGTGAAATAGTGAGGGTTCATTGTCATTAATAGTCACATAGAAATGCGACATAAGCGATGTATCTTTTCTATTTTTGGCAAACTGCCGCCATACAGTAGCATCCCCTGCTAGCAGATATTCCCCTCCATCGGCTCCACTGGCTACATATATTTCTCCAGGTAAGAATGCCACCGTTATTAGCCGATTTACAGTGGGTAATCAGACATCCGCTCCGAGGATGCCGCCCTTGTCAGGACTCAGGAATGCGTCAAACACAGTCAACATGCTTTTTTTTTTCTCGCATGAGGCTGTCCTGCAACACTTATAGCAATAATGAAACCGACGGTAATCCCTATAAAGTGCCTCCCGAGGTGGTCGATTTAGAGTTATGCAGACGGCCCGAAATGGTAGTTTCTGAGGCTCAAGCGTTGGAACTTGATGAATCCATATAAGACTATGTTTGAGTGGTGTACCCATGTATTCCTCCATCCAGAATCCACTGCTCATTGTCATCGTTGTCATCTTGCACACGTCGCCAAGTCTGTTTTCGTTCGGTTTGCTCCGCTGCTTCAGCTTGCTTTATCTCGGGGGCACGCCACACAGGTCGCATGAGACCACCAGCCGCGAGAAGGGGGTTACGACTGAAAGCAGGTTGTCCTCGCGAGCTGTCCTCTGCACCTCCTTCCTCAACAGGGTCAGGCTCACTGACCTCTGGGGTTGATTCTGCCGGCGCAGAATGATACACTCGGCGGACCTTGCCACCCTTGATATCAAGACTCATCACAGTCTTCTTCCTCTCCCACTCAGGACGAGCTTTCTCGTCTATCTCGCGCTGGATGCGCTGCTGCTTTTTGAGCGCCAGTGCTCGTTGTGTGGGTGTCATCCACAACGTCGAGGCGACATTTGGGGTCTCGAAATCTGCTGTTTCATCAACAACCTTGGTCCGACGGGCATTTTGCGCTTGGAACTGGAGCAGCTTGTCCCGGTGTGCTTTCGCGACATCCAGTTTGCTTGGAGCCTCGGACCCGGAAACAGGTCTAGGACCGCCGTCATGATGAACACCTTCATTGTGTACGCGCATCTTCTCTTGTCCACGCTCCGCCCGTAGTTCCCGAATCATGCCTTGCACTTCCTCTGCGGAGAGGAGCGGTGTGCCACAGAATGAGCACGGCTGTAGACCCTCAAGTGAGCAGATGATTTTTCCGCAGTTGAGGCAATTGGGTGCCGGGTCAAACACTGGATGTAGTAACCCGTAGCAGGAGCATTTGCGTTTCTCTCCCAGACTTGGATTCGTCGATACCTCCAGCGCAGCGATAGCCGCGGTGAGGTCGGAAATGTCATTGGTTGTGAGAGCTGTATTTCCCTTTGAAGACGATCCCGCTCCTCCGCCGTGACGTGTTGACTTGCTCACTTTTGATCGCACATTTGGTAACATGTCCGAGATCGTAGGGCCACTCGCCGATGGTGGTGGCTTCGGGGATGACACGGGCAAGGGGGAGGTAATGCGCGCCGAGGCTGTGGACCCACGCGGCGATGGTGCAAGAGAGGGAGCAGCTGGTTTTCGAGAAGACATATAGTCTTCTTCATCGGCTTTCTTGTAGCCACCGCCTACATCGCCGTAGTTGTCGGGTCGACGTGGTGGGCCGGCAGTGTGCAGCGGAGCCTTCTTCTTGCCCTTCTTGGCTCCTCCGCTTGGCCTTGATACATCTCTGCTTTGTGTGGAGGGGTTCTGGGGTGGTCGCTGGGGTTCTCGACGTGAATTAAACGAGGAGATGAATTCTAGGGCGGCCGGGGAGTCACCGAGGAGGTTTTTGAGATGGTCGGCACATTCCTCCCTCGAGAGGCTGAGCGCATAGTCGATAACCTGAGAAAGAGAATCTGGATCCAGCGGGATAAGCTGGGAAAGACGAGGAGCTGCCCATGCAGTAAGATCAGCCATTTTAGAAAAATATTTAGGCGTTGGTGAATGACAGGTGAAATGCCCGTGGATCCCCGCATTTATTAAGCGTCCCCGGTGCAACCCACCCAACTACATAGGCATCAAGTCTCTAAACACAGTGCCAATCAATTTCAACCTGTTCTCGGAATAATTACACATCCAATGTTAGTGGACATTTTTTTTTCAAGTGACAAAATGGGATCAGGTAGCGTACATGTTAAGCTGGAATCCAATGAGTTCAAAATTAAGAAAAGAAAATATTGATATTAGCACAAATCAGTTGCATATTTCTTGCAGTGCCTCTGTCGGTTGTATCTCATGTTGTCAAGTAATGTACAAAGCCCACCTCCCTCGTCATCATTCATCTATGCAGATTTATCCGAAGGAAAGGCCAAACCATGACCAGACCAAACCAGACCCAGAGACGCCATGGAACATAACCAGCCCATCAAAAACAAAGCTCAAACGCCGCGGACACCATGGTAGAGAAAAAGGGTATGAAAAACAAATGAAAGTTTAGTCGGCGTTCTCGCTCTTGATGTCGTCGTCGTTGTCTTCAACTGTGAATGATTGCTTGAGCTTACTGGGACCGGGCTTTTTGCTGGAGCCCTTTTTGGGTCCATTCAGTTTCTTCTTCTTGGTGGGGCTGGGGCTTTCTTCGTCCTCGTCTGCGTAAGGGCGCTTGGGTGCTGATGAACCGGGACTATTGCCATTGCTAGCTCCCCCGTCTGTGGGAGTCTTATTGCGGCCGCCGGTGCGACCACCACAGACGCAGCGTTCAAGGTGTTGGGCGAGACGAGTCATGACGAAGTAGCGCGGACAGATAGGACACTTGGTGGTTGGAATTTCAGGAATGGTACTGTCTCGGTCACCCTTCTTTTTCTTGGGGTTCGGCATGACTGCAAAAAGCTTGCCGTGGACATCATGGCCGGGCAGGTCAATCATGGGGACATTTGTACAGTACTCAACGTGGGGATCGGGAGGGGGCAGAGAATTAGCTCCGGTGGTCGGATACATGAGTTTCGGGAGGCGGCAATCTGGGCACACATGCTCCTTCACGGTTCGCATGGGATTTCCTTTGAGGAAGACTTTTCCACGGCTGAAAATGGCCGCGTCCGTCTCCATGCGCATACCCGCAAGCTTCTTGGTGTCGAGAACAACTTCTCTCTTAGTATCGGTCGAGGTCTTGCTAGGTGCCTCCTCCGGCATGATTGCGTCTTCCTCCGCCTTCTGTCGGGCAAGAACCACCGCGGACCGCATGCGCGCCACCTTCTCTTCGCGGTGAACTTTGGCCACAAGGTCGTGGATGATATTCTGGAATGTTTCGTTCAGGATGTCGGTAGCCTAAAAAAAAAGGCATTAGGACCCGTTATGAATTCACATCAAGTTCACTCGGGGCCATCATACCACTTTAGCGATCGTTCCGGCAGGATAGGTCGGCCTGCGACCACCGCTGCTGTTGGAGTCGGCCATTTTCGGATTGCGGCCGGAGATGAATGCGCCAAATATATCTCGTCCGGACCTGATTGACCGACGGCTGTGTCTGCCCGCGACACAGGTAGTGTGTGCTCCGAACCGCTAGGTCCGAGGTTTAGTTCTCCATGTACTGGAAATCTATGCAGGGTTGACGCAATGGGTGCACGGATGTAGGAGAGAGGAAGAGAGAAGAAATCCAAAACATAGAAGCCGAAATAAAAGGGAGAAAGAAGACAATAAGGAGAGCTGAATTGTATAGCCTAGTGTAAGGCCTGATGTCAGTGAGCTTCAATAATGGGGCGAGGTAGAATTAATAGCCAGCAACAATAGGGGAAGACAATGTGATCAATGCAGGTGTTTTATCAACGCATACAATGGCAAGCAGGCATCGAGAACAAATAGGGCACTAACCTATAGAGGTGTCTATTTGCATGCGAATCAAATATCACTCGGGGAGATGAAGAGACGGATGAGGCTGGAGCAAGTTGTTCACTGGGCTTATCTTATCGTATCTCCGCATTCGCTGCCCAGCCTTGGAGGTGCCTGCCCAGGTGGTTTGTTCTTTCACAAACGACCCCTGAATTTGCTCCAAGATGGCATACCAGCTGTTTACAAAGAATCAGACAAGGCAAGCGACTTCTTCGCCGTCGCTCTCTCCTCCTCCGACCAATCGTCACCCCATGCGGCCTCCTATCCATCCTCCTCCAGTACAGCCGCCTCAATCAGCCGTCGCAAACACGCCTGGCCCAAAACATTCAAAAGAAGAGATCTTTGTCCCATATCCTCATGACATTCCAGCTGGTGTGGCGACAAAACACCCCCATATAACTGTCGAGAAAGTCAGCACCGCGCATATCCCTTCCCTGACGCGGATCACGGGTTTACTCCTTCCCATCCGCTACCCAAACTCGTTCTACACAGCGATCATAACCGATCCGGTGATCGCTTCTATTTCGCGGGTTGCTATTTACCATGATCACCCTGTTGCTGCAGCCCCGGGGTCCGGCGCATCTGCCGGGACGGACAAGGTGATAGGGGGCATTCGGTGTCGGCTAGAGCGAATCCGGCAGGCAGAGGACTCGATCAAAGAGGCCAAAATACAAGGGAATGGATGTCCCACGAATCTCTACATTCAGACTCTACATCTTCTCTCGCCATACCGGGGCCGTGGCGTGGCAGCATCACTGTTGAATTCGCTTCTATTTGCATCGTCACCGGACGGCAATGGCAACGACTCATACCGGGTATCCGAGCTCGTCAGGCACTACAATATCTGCTCTGTCACAGCACATGTCCATGAGGCAAACGAAGAGGGGTTGGAATGGTATATTGCACGTGGGTTCAAGATTGACGGTGATGTAGCCGAATACTATCGGCGATTGAAGCCGTCGGGTGCGAAGATCGTACGACTAGATTTAAACAGGAATGAGAAAGATGAATCATCTGGTCCGACAGAAAGCAATTCTCAGACTACAGATTCTCCCGGTGAAGTAGAAGACGAAGACTGGGAGAAGGTGGAGGCGGAGGATGGCGAAGAAGGTGACCATGGAATACAGCATTTGAACGAATCGCAAGTCCTTGTATATCAGGATGCGCCTTCGCGCAAGCGCAAGGCTGAATATGATGACCACAAGCCTCACCTCGAGTGAGATGTGCTTCGCATGTGTGGCTTTCTGTTATACCTCGGATACCCCTTGCATTTGTTTATATATCTGATTTAGAATAGTGCTTGTGTTTATTCTTAATGCGTGCATGATGATATTTAGTTGAATATGAGAGAGGATCGTGACATACACTCCTACGTGTTGGAGTTGAGCATTAAAGGAACTGGCATAATATTCATATAACTGCAACGCCATGGGTATCAAATCAATAGAAGACAGGAACGCTACATTAGATATTATAGTTCTCGGCATGCAAAAATATCTCATCTTTCGACGAGTCCATAATCACCTGCATCTGCAGTTTGGCTACCGTGTTGGCGACTTCAACTCGCATGCTCGGTGGACCGCAGACGAAAACACACGCACGACGGCCGAAGGTTTTGGAAAACTCGTTGACCATCTGCGTGATGTTCGGGCGGAAGTAATCAGTCCGCCAGTTATCACGTCCACGTGCGTGATAATAAGCAAACCGTGGTGCATGTACTGGCGGCGGCACAGGTTGAGATGCGCCGAGTCGGAAGTCGAAATTTGAGGTGCCACCACTATTTGTTGCTGCGGGGCTGTGAAGGTTCATGGGAGGCTGGTAGAATTGACGGGTACTGGGCACATGGGTTGCCATGTACGCATTGGGAAGAGCAGCGACACCGTCTTCATTCTCACGGCGCAATTCCTTTTCTATATCAGGGTTGCCGGCAGCTTCATCGCGTATATAAGCCGAGTTCCGCTTATCAATACCCTGAAGCATACCGTAAATCTTCTCCTGTACTATGTCCCGTCCAATTTGGTCGTCTTGCTTCACTCCGGTGAGGAAGAAATGACAGCTCACAATGTTAGAAGGTGCGTAGTCACGGCATATTCGTAGTTCCTCCTGGAACCACTCCATCATCTCGGGGTTCTTGAGCGCCCAAATAACTTTGACCGATTTGGTGATAGCCTTGCCATCTCGAATCTTCTTGATGAGGTCCAGAAGTTGGCTTGCAATGGCAGTAATGCCACTTCCTCCGGCAAAGAAAACCACGTCGTCGAAAGCAGCCATCTCGCGCTGCATACCACCGTATGGCCCTTCCACAAACGCGCTGTATATTTTGTAGGGGCCATGTTCCAAGGCTTTCTGGAATACCTCGCGTGTGAAACCTTGGAATGGCCGGAAAACCAGTATCATGTCACGATACTTTTCACCATACGCAGATGGGAAGTCGTCGCTGCAAAGAGAGGCAATCGTGAAAGGGTGGCTCTGGATCACGGAAATCCTTGGTAGTCGCAGGTAGACATACTGACCAGGTCTCCAACGCATCTTTGTGGGAATGGTGATCTTTATAGCATTTTGCGGAAGAAGGGTTATGGCTGCCTCTTCTCCGATCAAAAATGACGAACGCAAAGGATGTGTCCAGTTCAAATAGAACAGCCGGACGAGATATGAGATGACCCAAATGGCAAGGGTTGTGAAAAGGTAGGCCCATGATGACAGGTAGTTCCTCGTGTGCCAGAAGAGCATTGCCACAAAGATGTACGAGACTGGGATATGGACAAAGACGAAAAGCTCATACATCCAATTGCGAAAGACTGGAAGAGAATGGATACACAACACAAGCAGAGGAACCAGCGCCGCAATTCCAGTGCCATATACATAGGCGTGTGGTGGGATACCTATGCTATAGTTGACCAAAGCACCATCTTCCCAGATTGGAGTGATGTAAAACGGGACCATATGAACCAAACTGAGGAAGAGGCAGATATAGGCTGACCAGCGGTGCAGTCCATTTAACCGCTCAGGACCTAGGCCAGTCATCATAGTGATAAAGTTTGCCTTGGTGCTGAGCGCAACAATCCAGGGGATCATAGCTACTGCAAGCATGCCTGCCCGGATAGCGAGCGGTGGCGACCCCAGCGCAATTGACCAATAGTATAAGGGCTGTGGCACGAAACAGTATAAAACAACGAAGACAAATGCAACCAAGACAATCGCTGTAACCGCCAAAGACGGCAAAACAAGCTCTATGTTCCCAACCCTCAGGACGGGAACTGGTCGGTAGAAGATCCATCGCGTCAAAGCAATTGCCTTGTTCAAGGGAACTATTCTTGCAAGAATAGATTCGTGCCTCTTAGGTGGAGAGACTACGGTCGGTGATGGAAAGAATTGGGCGTTGGAAGCATCAGTGCCTGCACTCGGGAGCTCGTACTCGTCCGGTACCGAGTCGTCGCGGAAGATCTCTGGTCGGTTTTCTTTATAGAGGGCAATCCGCATCTTGTCGCCCCATTTATGCCAGCATCGGACGAAAGTTGTGATTATCAGTAGCACGACGGCGAAATAGACAAATCCGACTCCATATTTTGCTGACTTTGACCATGGATCTCGCTGCATCTCAGCCGCCTCGGCTGTAGTCGTCGATGCAGTGATCGCAACATTGATGCGCTTGGCAATAGTGCTCAGCATTTTGAAATGCCTTAGTCGGTACCGATAGTGATATCTTCCTGAGATTTTTCTAGTCAGATCCATCCCAAGAAAAGTCTTGCACGGGGTAACCTACCTTTAGGTATCACCCACGCATAAGAGGCTTCCTCTCTTATACTATAGTCGAACTGAGCTCATATCTTTAGTAGAGCTATCAATATTGATTTCATCAAAGTCAAGGCAACGGAATGGGAGTTTTCGAGGGAAATTCCGTCTAAAGTATGAAAAAAGGAAGCGGGGAGTCACACAAGCTTGCAGTCTCGGCACTGTGATAGCCTAAGCCCAACAACGGAATATTGTGGCTGGTCAGACATTGACCCAATCGAAATCGGTGATTGCAGACCAATTTCTAGAGCACAGGCGTCTCGCCATGGTGATAGTGGTTGCAGTGCGGAGGGATATGGTGTGACGGTTTAGGCTTTAGCGCTCTGAAGCCCAATCACACGGGGCGATATCAGCAACAGAGTGATTCGATGTGACTGAGCCGCATTAGCGTGGTGGAGAAGATGCAGAGCTCATTGATATTTTTGTCGAAGATGCTCATCCAATTATAATTGAACTATGATGCAGGTATACAAAATAGTTCATAATCTCCGGCTGGTCGTGCCGGAGATTAGCCGAAATTATGGAAGCCATCACAACTATGTTGTATGTATGAATAGGCTCTATCTGGGTTAGCGTCTATGACTCCGTGAAATGCTATAGCGCGAATAGATCGAAGAAGCTGTCTATGCGGACTACATGTAGGGTTTAGTAGCCGAAGCGGATAGCAACCAGTAGTAGAATGTAGTTCCCTTGACGATGAACTCACAGTGATATATTGACGAATTGTAGGAATTCAGTACTGGAAAACCAGAGGTTTCAACATTTCAACATTCTCAAGACTGTCATTTCCGGCATTGGAGCTGAGGCACTTCGTCGGTTCCTGCATCAAATGGTTTTATCATGTAGTATACAGCAGATATCTGTCGTATAATATCGTGTGATATCCAGACTGAAACATCAGATACCCCTTTATCTAGAAATTTGTTCTTGTTCTCTTCTCATAAAGTTGTTCCTCCAGGGCTGCTGTGACCCCGCGAAACTCTTGGCAGATAAACAGTTGGTGCCTGGGGCAACAGTGACAGCTTCGACCGCCTTCGATAGGAAATTATTCTGCCATCTCATGCTTGTCGGCTTTTTCTGCATCTTCGATCATTTCCATATCAGTCTTTGACGAAAGTAGAGACGTTTCATTTAGCCATGGCATCCTCCACTACTGCCAGTAATCTGACACCTCCGTCATTGTCCCTTCCACCATCACAATTCGCTCGCCTCCAACCTCACGCCTACCTTCTCGCCCACCTCTCTCCTCCACCAGCGAGCAATCAACCCTCAATCCGCGCGAACGGTCGTGCCGCCTCACAATTTCGTGTCACATCCGCCAATGCCGGCTCTCTAACTCACACAAACGGCAGCGCAGTCGTACGAATCGGCGACACAGCCGCCGTCTGCGGCGTTCGCGCAGAGATCCTACACACCAAGGACATCGCTTCCTGGAGCGTATTGCAGGCCTCGTCGGAGCACAATCTTGACAATTCAAATTATGCGGGAGTCTCCGAGTCCCAAGATGAGGAAGATCGAGGTCATATTCAAGATCTGAACCTACTCGTTCCCAACCTTTCCCTCAGCACTGGCTGCGCGCCAGGCTTTACACCCGGTGCACCACCTTCTGCGCTGGCTCAGTCGCTCTCCCACCAACTTCTTTCACTTCTGCACACCACACGTCTCGTTCGAGCAGAAGACTTGCGCATCTGGTATCAGCCACCGAATCTGGAGTCAGAAGAATTCGGCAATGCGGGTGAGGGGATGGACGTGGATACAGAAGAGAGCGGGGGCCCCGAGCGGGAGATTAAGGCTTTCTGGGTGCTCTACATCGATGTCATGATCATTTCTCTGGCTGGAAACCCATTCGACGCGGCCTGGGCCTCTGTCCTGGCTGCGCTTCGGGACACGAAGCTTCCCAGGGCCTGGTGGGATGCCGATAACGAAACGGTCCTCTGCTCGGACGATGTTGCCGATGCACGAAAGTTGTCTCTGCGTGGCTTGCCTGTTGCCAGCTCTTTCTGTTCGTTCGAGGGCGACGCCGCTGCTGGCTGGCGGGCGGTTGTCATTCCCAGTGCTGAGGAGCAGAAGCAGAAGAAGAGCGCACAGCGAAGGTGGATTCTTGCGGACCCGGATGGATACGAGGAGGGTTTAAGTCAAGAGCGGGCTTCTGTTGTTGTTGATAAAGAGAATGGGAAAACGGTCATTGTGAAGATGGAGAAACATGGTGGTTGGACTGTGGACAGTGATGATCTGCGCCAGCTTGTGGATGTTTCTGCTCAGAGATGGGATGAGATGAAGCGGATACTAGATCAATGCTGATCGATTTGATATGCCTTACAAATGAATGATACCACTACAAGTATTTCTTGACATTTTGCTTTTGGGATGGAGCTGTGCATCGGACTAGATGGAAATGGTGGTTGTCATGTGAATAGTCTACAAAATA